TAACAAAAACATTTTGAATTCTTTTCAAAACATCACAGAAAACACTAAAAATCGATAAAAATTCGAATTTCGCGCGCTTTTACCGGCAATTGGCCTAGAAAATTCACACCCTATATAAGGAGGCCTATTCCAGAGATCTTCATCATTCCATTCTACTCTCTTGCCCCCTCCTAACGTTTCAAAATGGTCCGGTAACTGAATCTAGACCTTTTGAAGTGAATTTCCTATATTTTTCTGAATATTCTTCTACTTTGATTTGTCTACGATCAAAGATCCTTCAAATGCCCACTTCCCGATGTTCAAAGCTGCTCGTAGGTTCTACATCGATCCGACAAAATGTGGAAATTCTGCGAGCAGTTTCAGTCCATTCCGATACTTTCATCGACGTCGGCTCAAAAATCGGTCAGCTGGTTACGTTCGCTGCATCATATTCAAAGTGTGCACATGTGAGCGGAATTGACAAGAGCAAGTTCCAGCTGATTTTGCCACCGAAAATGGCATTCAGTTCGAAAGGTATCATTTTATCCAAATTTTGAAAAAACAAAAACAGTTTTGAAGCATTATTTAAACATCATCCCCTTCGTTTTTGTTCTCAAACTAACTAACTTTTAATTTGCAGGCTAATGGAACATTTTGGCGAACAACCACGGCCGTTCAAATTGGAAAAATACGACTTCAGAGATGAGGAACAAAGGCGAATTTCTGAAGAACAAAGCAACAATTATTTTTCGCAATAATTTTTTTACATGCCTTATCTCATTTTTTATCAATAAACCTTTGTAAACCCAGTTTTTTTCAGATGAAAATTTCAGTGATAAATTGAGAAACGCTTGCTAGTTTCAGTCGAGTTATATATCAGTCACTATACCAAAAATTGCCATTTTTGCATTATAAAAACCAAAAATTTAATCAAAATTTCCCATCAAAAACTACCCAAGAAATAACGGGAAATTTTTTTTGTGGCCGAGTTTTTGCATTTTCTAGGCCACCATTTGGAAAGTTAGGTCATTCTTCGTTTTTGATCGTTTCCAGGCGAATTTTGATAATTTGGCAAGTGACAAACATTTTGTTAGTTGGCACAATTTTGACATCTCTTGCAATAACTGAAATAATTGAGCTCAAAGTTGACGAACCTGCTGCTGACCTAACTTTTGCACTTGATGGCCTAGTTTTTGATTTTCTAGGTTTGCAAATCATGTTACTTTATTTGCCCTGCAGTGAGCTGCAAAATGAGCCCAAACACGACTAGGCTCCACCCACTTTGAGATTTCCTACAGACACGCGACGTACGATATACCACTTCCCGATATTTTTAAAGCTTCAAAGTTAAAAATTCGGTAAAAAATAATTAGGATCTGAAAAAGAAATTCATAATTCTTGAAAAAATATCTTGAAATCTGGAAAATCATAATCTCTTCGAACCTGTAATAGAAGAGATTTCAACTTTGGGCCAACTTATCTAGCTTTCTGTAAGAGATATTAAAAAACGGTCAATTGATAAAGTATTTATCATTTTATCGCAAACATTTTATCAGTTGATTTCTTTTTGATATCTTTCACAAGAAACGTGATAAATTAGCTCAAAGATAGGCTTAGCGTAGTTTTATTGTTTATGAGAAATTCATAAAATTTGCTATTTTTTAATTTTCTTCACCATATTTTTTTTTCTCAGCACATGAGAAATTGGAAAAATAACAATTTTTATGAATGATAAACAGTATTGGGGAGGGAAGAAAATGAGAAATAGTGTGGGAGAAGAAGAGGGAAAGAAGTGGAGGAGATGTGCAAAAAATCGTTCTCATTTTTTCTTGTCTTGTGAAGAGAGGGAAGACAATTTTACATTTTTTCGATTTCTCTTTTTTCTGTAATGCAGAATTGTTTTCTGTTGATTTTAACAATATTGAGATTTTGACATTCTAGAAATCCGGATATCCGAAACAATGAAATTGTTTTTTCTCTCAAAATTTATATTCTTTTTCAAAAATTCTAAACGTTGCTTCATGACCTTTTTTGGTCCTTATTAGGGTTACTGTAAAACCTGTATTAGAAGGGCCTGCCTTTCTATTGTTCCGAGGCACCAGCGGAGGGCCCTTCTATTTTTCCGGCCAGTTTTTTTTTCCCGAAATATTGCGTTGAAAAATTCGACGAAGTTTTGTTCAACATTCATGAAAATCTACCAATTTCACCAAAATTTATCAAAATTTTCATTGAAAAATAGAGTTTCAACAAATTCTATTAAATTGTGGAGTTCCTTAATTTTCTGATCAATGCACATTTTGAAGGGTGTCTTTTTTCACAGAGGGCCCTTCTTTTACGGGGTCCCTTCTATTACAGAGGCCCATTTACTTCTCCAAGCCCCTCTCGGAGGGGCCTTCTATTAAAGGTGGGGGGACAGGAGATTTTACGGGGGATTTTTGGGGCCAGAGTATGCATTCTACCGTGACGGTGTACAACGCTTAAAGGGGAAATCCGGCCAAAAAATTTTTTGCATTAAAATGTGTAAAAATTTATCTATTTTTCAAATATTATTGCGAAAAAATTCAAAGAAAATCCGAAATTCCCGAAAAACGGCGTTGAAAAGGAAGAAAATTCAAAAAAAGGTGCCGCCGGGGGACGAGGATTTTCAGGGAGAAACCTAGGCCACGGCACCTGACAGCCTTTTTTTCAAGTCGCCGACAGTGGTTTGTTACGTTTTTTACCTGCCGGGCATGAAATAGAAAAAAATCCGGAAAATTTGCCACGTAGGAAAGGCGACCGCTGCCGTGGCCTAGGTTTCTCACTAAAAATCCTCGTCCCCGGCGGCACCTTTTTTTTGAATTTTCTTCCTTTTCAACGCCGTTTTTTGGGAATTTCGGATTTTTTTAAATTTTCTCGCAATAATATTTGAAAAATAGATAAATTTTAACACATTTTAATGCAATAAAATTTTTTTGTCGGAGTCCCCCTTTAATGTCACTCTGCGTACAGCTGTCGTCCTCGCCTTTACGGATGCAATCGGGCGACCGCATTCACTTTGCCCGTGTAGCTCAGTCGGTAGCGGCGCCGCACCCTCAATCCTCGCCCCACACGTTCAACTCCTCGAGGGGCATATTTAAACGAAATTTCGAGAACATTATTTTTTTCATGTCCTCCCACCTTTAAAGGAGCCTTTCTATTAAAGGGGCCCTTCTAATACAGGTTTACGGTAATTTTTATCTCTTTCTGAATTTCAAGATTGTAAAAATATATTTTTAATTTTGCATTCTTGAGCCAAACAGCAAACGTCAGAGAATGACCAAAAAAAGTGCATACTTACAAATTTCATGAATCCTAATAATTATAAGCATAGACGTTTGACTTCGTTAGATGACTTTTTCTCAAAAAAGTGAAATTTTTATCATGAAAATTGTGGTATATATATGTATGTCAGAAAAAATGAAAATACAATTTTTTTTCTTAAGTGCTGACTTGAAAAAAATCATTTTCGAAATTCCGAAATTCTGAAATCTAGAAGTTTTCAGATTTTTGAAAATATAAAATTCTGAAATTTATATTCTGTCTTTCGAAAATTTTGAAAAAATAAAAAGAAAATTTGATTCTGAATTTTGAAATTTCAATTAAATGTTTTTATGCCGAAAAAGTCAATACCGAAAATTCGGAAATTCTGAGTATCTTGGAAGTTCAAAAACTGCAGTTCGATATTTTGATATTCTAAAATTTTGGAACTTTGATACCCAAAAACTCTGAAATTCTGAAATTCTGAAATTCTAATTATTTTGAATTCCCCAAACTTCTACGATTCCAGTTACAGAGATCATGGCGCCCAGAGCTGAAATCCCAGAAATTCGTCAAAATGAAATTATTGGAAATTTCAAAAAATCCATAATCCCAAAAGAAGCAATTCTAAAATCCTTGAATATTCTCATTGGATTGGAAGATGAGAATTCGGTGGGTTTTGGGACAAAAATGGATTAATTTGAAAATTTTAAAGTCAAATTCAATATTTTCGAACGTTTGTGGTTGTATCCAGAAAGCGAAATTTTGAAAAACGGAGATTTTTCCAAAAAATTTTTTTATTACATAACCCTTAAAAATCAAAATTTTCAAAATTTCCAGATTCGTCTTGGTTTTCGCCTCTTCACAATCTTAAATTTTGATCTGCATGACTACAGTACCGCCTATGAATACGCCCTCCGTGTCAGTATTCGATTCGAAGAAGCTGAGCAATTTGTGAAGAAAATTGAGGAGATTTTGGAAAATTATGAAACCTAAGTTGAAATTTTTAATAAATGTGTCAAAAGCAATAATTTATTGTTAGAAAGCACAAAGCAATGAAAGACAGAAGAAAGCCCAAAATCAGAAGTTCAAATTTAAATTCAATAAATCAATAAATCAATAAATCAATCAAAATCGGGATCAAAAAGAACGACTCGACGACGAGGTGCCGAAATCGATCGGCACATCGATGCACTAGTTTGAGTGCATTGTTGACGCATTTTCTGACGACGTCGATTCATATCCCAGAGTTGGGCTCTCTCGATGACGTCATCTAATTCATCTTCTCCAACATAATCTTCAATGAAGAGGTGTGTCGTCGAACGACTTGTCACTGAAATTTAATGTTGTCAATGGAGCGTTTTAAGCCAATTTATCTCGTTGCCTGTGTAAGATATCAAAAAGTGATCTACTGATAAAATGTTGGTGATATTATGTTAAACATTTTGTTAGTTGACAACTTTTTGATATCTTTTGAAGGAAACGAGTTAATTTGAGTCAAAGTTGGCAGAAATTTTACTAAATGTTCTACGAGATTATTTCAATTTTTCGAACGAAAATTTTTAAATTTTTGTAGTAGTAATTTCAAAAAATACGGTAATTTGGAAAAACGATTTTTTTAGTTTTCCAATTATTTAAAGAATATTCTTGATTTTCTCGAAAAATTTTCGAATTAAAAATCTTGTTTTATGAAAATCTCCAAAAAGGTTTTTTCAAATTTCGAAATTCTCAACTCACCAATTCTAGATGCACTCCTCCCAGTGGCTCCCTCATACCGAATCGGAATTTCATTGATATCCACATCGAACTTTTTCAAATTTGATTTCATCGATTTTTGATTATTCCTCTCCAAACCCTCCAGTTTCTCAATCGATTTTTCTTTTTTCGTAAGAGAATCTGTTGATTTTTCTCTTCTCAAATTCCCGCCAATTTCTTTCCCATCCGCCCACTTTGCTCTTGATGATTTTTCTGGAATTTTCTGTGCAATTTTGGATTCCTTTTTGCCAAATTTTCCATATCCCGGAGGCTTTTCAGATGACGTCAATGGAATCTCCACAGCTTCAGAACATGGCTTCAGAATTGGAATTTGTTTTTCCCGGGGTTTTTCTTTTTCTTTTTCAACGTTAGCCGCTCCAGAACTCCCAGAATTCTTTTCGGGATTTCCAGAAGCTCCAGAAATTGCTCCAGAAGCTACTCCAGAATTCGGTCCAGAATTCAGAAGATTTTCTTCTGAATTCCTCTTCGTGTACGTCGTCTGAGTGACCTGATAAGATCTATGGAATCTCACTTCATCGTCGTTCTCTTTTTTTGAAATTTTCTCGGATTTTTCCGATGGTTTCAGAATTGAAATCACTTCTTCTTCGGTTTTTATCGAAATCGTATCGGAATCTTTTTGAGTCGTTTGAGTTATCGCTTGAGTCGAAGTCTGAGTTGTGGATTTTAAATCGATTGGTGGTAGATTTTCAGATAAGGGACGAGACGACTCTTCGGGGTTTTGATTGGAATCTGGAAAAACGTTTTTTCCTTTTTTGAAGCGTTTTTGAAAGTGTATTTTTTCTAAAATTAAGAAATTCAAAACTAAAAAAAAAGGAACCCAAAAGTTCCAAAATTTTCAATTTATGATATTCTTTGAATTTCCAAATTTTCAGGATTTCCGAATTTCTGAATTTCGAAACTTTTGAATTTTTATACTTTCTGAATAAAAACATTCCGAATTCCTCAATTTTTGAATTCTGATATTCAGAATTTTAAAAACTGAGGATTTTAGGAATTTTTTGAAGTTTTGATTTCTTCGGAATTTCATAATTTCAGAATTCTCGAATTTTAAAATTAGTGAACTTTGAAATTTGAAAAGTTCTCAGAAAAGAAAAAGAATCTCAGAATCTGAAAATCTCAGAATCTCAGAATCTCAGAATCTCAGAAACTCAGAATCTCAGAATCTCAGAATCTCAAAATGAAAGAATTTCAGAATCTCAAATTTTAGATTTTTCGAATCTCTAAATTTGGATTTCAACAATTTTGAATTTCAGAGAGTCAGAACTTATGAATCCGACTGTTATGAACAAGATTTCGACATTTTCTTTTCAAGATCTCATTTTTAAAAAGGCGCGTTTCCTGATCCCGCCCACTCACTTTTCTTGAACGACCGATTGGAATTCAAAAGTCTTGGCAGTTTTGTGCTCGAACTGTTTCCCTTCTTTGCATCTTTATTCACTTCAGATGTCGTTATACTTGCACAATCTGTATCCTTTATTTCCAATTTCGGAATAATCGTATGCTCTTCTCCTTTTGTCTGCGTCTCTCCCAGTTTTACTCTCTCACCCATCATCCATTTCTCATTTTTACCCAGCCAGGAAGCGGTTCCAATCTCGTTCAAATGCTCCATACTTCCGCCGATCTGAAAACGAAAAGATTCTTGTTTTTTTTTGATGATTAGAGTTTGGAGAATTTGAATTTCCTGAAGTTGAAGAATTTGGGAAAAAAAGTTATGAGTTTTTGGATTTCGGAACAATAGAAATTTTCAAAAATCAAAAAAATATCCTGGGATAAAACAACTGGATTTTGAGAAATTCATTTCTGAATTTCTGAACTTTTCTAATCAAGTTTTCAGACCCTAAAAATCTAGAATCCTCAAGAAGAATATGCAAATTTCTGAAAGTTTGAAAAGTCTAGATTTTGAAATTCCAATTTTTTTTCAGGGACTTCAAGAGGAAATTCATTTTTTCTCGTTTTCGAAGAGTTTCCGATTTTTTTAAACTTTGAAAATCTAGAAAATTTCAATTTTTCTGATGTTTCACAATCAGATTTAGGATGACTCTTTTCAAAAGAAATGGAGAATTAAAAAAAATTACCTTCAACGGAGGAATATGTGAAGTGAGATGTTTAATTTGAATGTTCGACGCACTGGGACTTCTCGATAGAATCCCATCAAACGGATACGGCAAACCTGGTAGAGGAAAACGATCATTATGCATTTTCTAGGCCACCACCGGAAATATCAGTACACGTCTGGGTGTATCTATACTTCCGAGTGCATTGGAAAAAGTACAATTGTTCTATTTTTTGTCTTATTTTCGATGTAAAAATTTGAATTTTTGTAACTCAATTAAATACCGTAAACACTCTAATAGAACGCCACCCGGACCGTTCACTTTGAGCCAATCTATCTCGGGTCCTGATGAAAATATAAAAAATTTGTCAACTGATAAATTGTTTATCATAACATCCTATACATTTATCAGTTTCCACATTTTTTATATCTCTTATAGAAACTGAAATAATTAAGGTCCAACTTGACAGTGTGGGGGCCCTTCTATTACAGGTTCCAGGTAAATAAGTCAAATAGGACATTTTTAAATATTCTAGGTGATAATGGAAAATCTGGAAATCAAAAAAAAAAACCAGAAAAAATTGAAATTTCCATCGAAATCGGTTTTCCCAGATGTCAGGATGTAAAAATAAAAAAAATAGGTTTACCTGTAATTGTACCGTATCCCTCCTTCTTCAAATAAATATCCATTGATTCTGCGGAATTCAAAAAGGTTGGGACCATCTGAGGAGCACGGATTATTGGGTTATAACGCTGAAAAAATTGTGGACATCGGGATACACAGAAACACATTACTAAGAAAAAAATCTGATATCCAATCTGAAATTATCTCCTTTTTTCTCAAAAATCTTTGGTTTTCTGGTCCAAAAAAACTATTTTTTTTGCCGATTTGGCTTTTTTGGACATCGGGAAAACAGACAAACAGACAGACTCACTTTTCCCCTCAACGTAAATCTCGATTGTCCGTATGGAACATTGATGAACGGACCGTTTTCCACTGCAACATATTCTCCATTCGTTTCCAATTCGTCGAACTGACAAAAAAAAATTATATTGGCGGAAATTCAAAAATTCGACCTTTTTGAAAAATAGTCAACTTTGAAGTCCTAAAAAGTAGTTTAGAATTTTTCGATCTGTCTGAAATTTTCAGATTATACTAAACAAAAATAGAGCTTTAATTTAGTAGTTAACAAGTTTTTTGTAGCTTTTTTAGTTTTTGAGGCATGCGCCTTAAAAATACCGTACCCTCCTCTCCTCGTTTTTCTTCTGCACTGTAGAGCATTCCATCTTTAAAGGCGCATGTATCAAAAACTGAGAAAGTTACAAAACAGTTGTCAACTTCAAAATTGAAGCTCAATGCTCTTTTTGTTTAGTACTCTCTGAAATTGTCAGATAAATCGAAAATTTCTGGACTACTTTTTCAGGATCAAAATTGACTAGTTTCTACTGAAAAAGCCAAAATTATATTTTCCTTGGTTTCTCTTTCAAAAAAATAAAATAATTCTTCAGAAAAATAGAAAAAAGCTAACATGATGAACTGGAATTCCTTGTATCGTAAAAAGTCTTTTTACAGCAGTCGCGGTTCTTAGGGATACTGTTAGCGCATCCAAAAATACGATCCAATGTTTGAATTGTTTTCTAGTGACCACCAAAATCCGACCCTGATCGAACATGTCGCCGTTACGAAATACGCGGATCTGAAAATGTTCGATTTTTTTTTGAAAATCTGAAAATTATTTCATCCCCTATTTTCTCAATTTTTTGAATTTTCTAAACTTTCAAAAATTGGATAAATAGATTTTTTTTCAAAAAGTTCGAAATATTCATATACTCAATTTTCGGAAAAAAAATTCTGAAAAAAGGAATACCGTAAAACCTGTATTAGAAGGGCCCCTTTAATAGAAGGGCCCCCGTTATAGAAGGGCCCTTGTAAAGATGGGTCCCTCCAAAATGTTGCTCAATTTTGGTGAAATTGACAAAATTGACATTTCATGATTTTTGTAAGAAAATTTGTCAAATTATTTGATGAAAAATTTCAGGAGAAATGACCGGAAAAAATAGAATGGCCCCTCTAATTGAAGGGCCCCTGTAATAGAACGCCCTTCTGATACAGGGTTTACGGTAACTTGCCAAAAAACGGACAAAATTTATGAAAATCTTTTTAAAAAAAGAACAACTTTTAGAATTTTTCAGAAACGTCGAAAAAATCGAGAAAATATAATTTCCAAAAAATCTAAAATTGGGAAAAAAATAAAACTGAAATTTCAGACAAAACACAGTTTTTCAACTTACTTTTATTGCTGAATATTGCCACATAATACTATAAATTGTCTACATTTTTTCTCCTAAAATATAAAAAAAAATCTGTTCCAACGAAAAAAAAAATTTTAGCTTTTATAAAAATATAAAAGGTCAAAAACCTAGAGAAAAGCCCAACAATAGGTTTGTCTTTTACCTCTCTTTTTCACAAAAAATTCTTTTTTTTTCAAAAAAACTCACTCGTAATGGGAAGAAGTCGACATGATGGATGATGGTGTGCAGATTTTCGCTCATTTTGATTTTTTTGAAAAGTTCCAGAAGTCTGGTTTTTTTCTAGATTATTCGAAAAGTTCAAAAATTCGGATTTTCCATGTTTTTTTTTGTTGTTGTAGACTTTGGAATGTAAATAATATATAGCCGAAAACCAGATGAAGTGACCTGGAAAGAGATTTTTATTTTTATTTTTGTTGAAATGAAAAAAATGAGAGAAATAGAAAGAAAAATGAAAAATATGAGAATTTTGAAATTCGAAGATTCGAGAACTCGCACAATTTTTTGATTGTAAACTTTCAGAAAGTAGAGATAATTAGAATTTCAAGAATAATCAGAAAATTCAGTATTTCAGAAAATTCGGAATTCAGAAAATTTTGATTTTCAGATAATCAAAAATAGAAAAATCCAGAAGTTTTCAAACTCCAAAAAAACAAGTTCAAGAAAAAAATTCTGTTTTCTGAACATTTAGAAAACTCGAAAAATTGAAAATTCCTCAAAATCCAGACAATAAGAAAGTTGAAATTTTCAGAAAATTCAGCGAAATATGACATTTTTAATACCTAATTAAGCAATTTTCAAATTAATTATTTCTAGATTTTCAAGAACAAAACTCCCCTTTTTCAATATTTCCAGCTGGTTTTTCAGTTTTGCTTTTCAAAAATCTATCTTTATACCTTTCAAATTTTATTAAACTTTCTGAAATTTCAGCAATTTTTCCGAATTTTTATCTCCAGTAGAATATCAACATTGAGCTTGTATATCTCATTCACTTTTTGATATCTTCTACAGTAACTGAAACAAATTGGCTCAAAGTTGAAAATCATTCTATTCGAGTGTTTACTGTGTAACAATTTTTGGGTATCTCTTACAGTAATCAAGATAAACTTCCCAATGAAATCTCCTTAGAATGTAGTACTCTATTCAAACAATGATCTATACAAGCATGAGAAAATGTAAGTGAGCCCCAGTTCAGAAAAAAAGAAGAAATAGGAGAGAGAAGAAATTCCAATAGGTAACTGGAGTACAGCTCAATTTGGCTCTCCCCCTCGATTCTCCTCTTTTTGCACGACTGAACACATCCGGAGGATACATTTTTGAGGTGAATAAGAGTAGGAAGGCGATTATGGTTGTTTGGGGGAACTCAGACATCTATTATTGTTATTATTATTATTTTGGGGGAAAAGGAGTGGACAACGCAACTCTTTTTTGTCAAATGAAAGGTGTTTTTTGAGGAGTGGAGCTGTTTGGACAACAAGAAAGGGTTGGGGAACCTTTTTTGAGGATTCGAAATTACGGTTTTTTAATTTCAATTTTTGCAAACTTGTTCAAATATTTGAATAGAATTTTGAAGAACATCGGCTATTTCGAAGACAAAACATTCGGAAACA